AAAGAGTGTTTAAATCACTCCTAAAGCTTTGGACAATAGCCTCTATTTATTCCTAGTTAATTTAGGGACCTTAAAACATCAAAAACCCCTTCCAATGTGAGATTACGGCCCTAATCTCCATTAGAAATGGTTCATGGGCCATGAACATCAAGAAGGGGTGCCAAAATGTGTCTAATGCCTTCATTAGCCTTAGAAAATTGTCTAGAACCTATCCTAATTGAGCATGGGACTTGAAAACATAGAAATACCCATTTCCAAATAAGTTTACGGCAATAAACTCAAAAGTAAATGGCCTTGGGGCCGAAAACTCCTAAAAGGAGTGTCTTAAAGCCCTAAACTATTCCAAGGAGTTAACCACCAAGTAGAATTTCTTCTAGAAATCAAATAACACTTCAAAACACAAAATATCATCAAGCTTGGAAGCTTACGGCCGTAAACTCAAGGGTTTACGACCGTAAACTCCTTGTGTGGGGTTTAGTGAAGAGTAAACTCATGTATAGGGTCTTTTGGAACCGTAAACCCCTTTAGCCTTGTCCCACAAGAACTTAGATGCAACCTTTAGAACTTATAACACTTATACAAGGTGTTTTCATGTCCTAGAGTATCCTAACTTAATTTATTAGTTATTATTTGGCTAATTAGTTATATATATGTTCGTTATATGATAACTAGGCTCGATCGTGTGTACAAGTCTCCATTTGCCACCTAGAGCCGTATCCGATACTTCAAACCAATCTACTCACTGCAAGTGAGTTCATACCTTTTTAACTAACCTTTGAAATACTTTCAAATGTTTTTAATGCTTTTATGGGGGGAATACAAGTTGAATACTTATAGTTATTACATCAATCACTTGTGATTAATAACTACCAACCCAATGATTTTACTACTGTTCAAATTGTTTGTCAAACTGTTTTACTTCAAACTGTTTTACAAACTCTTTTATTTATCAAATACTTTTACTTAAACTTTATTATGCTTATTATAAATTGCATGCCCGTATATGTATAGTTATATAAGAAATGTTTAAAAGGCTTAGGAAGGTTGTCCGCCCTATTTCTTTTTCGCGCTTGAGATGTGGTCTAGTGGGATATCGGGTAGCCATCCGAAGGTCGTTTCAATATTAATTATATATCATGTGTACATATATAGTCATAAAAGTTCTTCCAGATTCATTCATACCAGTTACATCATTAGTGTGTTACCATATGGGTAGCACGGATAATACTTATACAATTGCTAGATCAATGAGCCAGTTCATTCATGAGTCAGTACTTATTACTACGAGAACATATACATTACATTACAAGAAGAACATATACAACTATACTAGAAGAAGAACATATACAACTATACTAGAAAGAGAACATATATAACGATACTAGAATGAGTAACAATATATTATATATAAATGAATACGTTAGCAAATTGTGATCCACTGTATCGGAGCATGCCTTCAATATCATGGCCCGAGTTGTAACCAGAGTCTCTTGGAGGGAGAGCGTGAGTTGGCGTATAGATCTATAGTGGATTGACTATCCTACACCTTGTTGCTAGTTACAGCCGGACCTGCAGGTCTGCAGGTGCCAAAAGTCATTTCTTTTTACGATCTACATTTGTCGTTGTTACCCAGTCGATAGTATGGTACAATAAATCACATAATACCTTAATATAAATCCAGGTAGTTAGTACAACAGTAGTTCCTAGAATACAACACTGCAGTACTATAATAATTTACCCCTTTACATATATTTAGTGATTATTTCACTTAAATTGTAATGTGCAAACTATATTTTGTTAATGATAGTTACACTTGGGAAATTACACACTTTTACAATAAACGAACATACAAAACAGTTACGCCTTGGTAGAAGGCTACTTTTAATAGAAAATATAGGGTTTTCTCAGAGATTCAAACTTTTACAAACTCTTACAAACATTTGCATACTTTTATCACCAATGTTTACAAACTTATACTTTAGAACCACGTTCAAACGTTTTGATACAAACACCAACACTAAAATACTTATGAACTCACCAGCTTAATGCTGATAAAATCATTCAAAATAACTTGTATTCTCAGGTCATCAATAGACAGGTACTAAGGCCAACTTTTGAGAAGATAGAGCGCATCCAAGACTCATCTTATTATTTTGATTTACATTTTTGGTGTCTACAACTGTACAGAACACACTTGTATTAAAATTATATATTTAATGCAATGGATGATGTTGTTTGCTTATTTACAGTTATACTGTGTTGTGATACTTTACATGACATCCTCCGCCGCAGAACGTTTCCGCTGTTCTTGGTTTTTGGGTGTGACAATATTTTTCCAAATAAGGATACCTCAGTCAAATTGACTTTCAAGGAGACAAGTACCCCTGATGTCAACGCACACATATCTTATACAGATGTAAACATCAATACAGGTGAAAAACATGGTACATCTATCCTTAAGAAGAAGAATTTCACATCACCGAGGGTTTCACATACTAAGTCCATTATGTAGGAAATCGAATTCCAAACATCATTGTGAACTTATCTAATAATGACACAAATATTACCACTGGTGAAAGGAGCTCCAAAATCGAAATTTCAATTGTTTTTACTTCGAATGCATTACCACCACCGCAAACTTCACCACCATAAACATTTGTTATTCAACTTACATCTACTACACCAATTTCTCATACTTTTTTTGTTATACTGCAAGCACCAATTGCTCCCTTATTCTCATATCAATCAATTGAACCTGAGAAGACCATTCCTGAAGATGAAGCAGATGATGTTGATGTTATGGTTTTGTTTGTTGATTTGTAATTCAATCGTGAAGAAGATGATGTAGCTGATGAGGAAATCATGCTGGGTAAACAATTCAAGATTATTAATTCTAAAATTAGTTATATTCATCAGTTTTTGGCTGATACTGGTGGCAAGACCTCGGTTAGTGGAGTTGAGGTTGAATAACTTTTAAAGTCTCAATAGACTCATATGAGAACCTTGATTAAAGAGTGTTGATATGAAAAATGATAAGAGAGTACCAAATTAGTCTCATAATTTGATCTTGAAGTTTGTAAACTTTGTTATGTTGCAGAATAACATCATGAAATCTATGAAAAAATGGTATATGAATCGAAATCATCTCTTGAGTTGAAGATGAACGAGCTTAGATACTTGATGTAAAAATAAGTTTGGAAACTGGATAACTACTATGTTTTTGTTACTGAAAAGATAGATGTAGTGGCTAGTGCACCAAATCGATGGATTGAAGATCTTATTGCTTTCAACAAGGATTATTCAAATGATCTCAAGGTGAAGACTGAGAAGTATGATAAAGTGTATAAGAAGGTTGAAGAGTTTCTATCTGATTTTAACAAATGTTTTTCAAAATTTGATCTGTCATCTCAATCTTCTATCTTTCAAGATTCTATTTCTACAGTTGTTTCGAATATTCAGTCAAGTTTAAAGCAGAGTTGGCTCTAATCTTGAATTTGGTTCTTTGACTACCAACAAATGCCCCATGTCCTGTGCATGTCCTGCAAGGGGAAGAAAGAGGTGTGCATTCTCAAATGGTTAAGTCGAAGAAAAAGGGGTTATTGTAGGAGTGCTTTTATCGACTAAAATCCCTGCATTGGTTCCAATGAAGTCAATTGTATCGAATCAAAAAATAACTACTTCAACAATGAATCCTTATCAAAAGACTATTCATCAATCACAAGTTCAAAAGAAAAAGTTTTTGATAGATGAAGGAGCTGGAGGTTTGTGTTCTGTTTTTTTTAAAACAATTTCAAATATTGATTCTAAAGATAAAGGGAAAAACATTCTAGTTGAACAATCTCCAAAAAAGGAGAATAAATTTCAAGAGAAAGAGATAGAAATACAAAGACAAATAAATAGAATTATTTGTCAAAGAGTAAATGATCCATTAGGCTTGAACAAGGTTGATCCTAATAAACATTGGTGTTATGAAACAATCAAGATTACAGTACTCGATAAATTAGATGAGTTTATGAAAAATCCCAAGAAAAGCTACAAATATGAAGACTCTAACATTAATGAGCTGGATTTCCCAGTCAATCATTTGATGTTCACATTTTACTCATTTCAAATTAGCTGAGAATTTCAAAGAAAAATATTAATGCAAGATATTGAAGATTCGCTTTCATGCAGTCTTGCAAAAAAGAAAAGAGGTTCGTTCGTTAGAGTGATCTCAATTATGACTGGTGTGTTGTTTGAAACATTGTTATAGAACTTTCATTATTCAGTTGTGAAGGCGAATAATATAGAATTTGAGCTCACTATTTCAGACTTTCCTGTGATAAGTCTAAATGATATCATCACCGTGTCAAAACACTACAAGAAAAAGACCCTTTCACGACGCGCAAATGACGACGCTCACTGATTTATGTTACGCAAAAGAGAGTGACAATAAAAACGTATCGTCTGTTCAAAAATTTGAGGATTTAGGTCGCGCATTATTGCGTGCCCTTAAATTGGTGTCTAATGTAAAAAAAAAAAAAACAAACACGGAGGGCACATTATCTATAACGTGCGTCCACTGTGATTGTCGCTTTATGATTTTTACTAAAACGCACGTTCTTGAAAGGGGGAAATGAAATCCCCTCAAAATTCTTAAAATTTTTAATACCCCGTTTCAAGATCCCCTTCGTTCTATTCTTCATTTTTCTCTGCAAACCCTAATCACGATACCATCTCTGTTGTATACCTCAACAATTCATATATCAGAAAATCATTGGGATAATTTCTAGGGCTTTTTAAAACACTCATTCGACTCTTTTCTCTCCCGCCTCCCCTGTCTATCTATTTGGTGCTCTGATATCCCTTTCCATTTATGCCGCCGTCTCCGTCCCCATCAAAACGAGGATATGAGACAGTTCTTGATCTACGATCGTCCAGTCGCCGATGCCCGATTAATAGGAGCTGAAAACATCATAACATAAAAACTGTTCTTAACCTTTTCGGACTCAGAAAAGCCGATGTGGCACATCCACGAGTATGAGGTGAAGAGCGACGTCCTTTTCCTTCCCGGCGTCATTGGTCCGGTTGAGCGGCAAGATCGGGAGAAAGCGCCGAAAACTAACGGGAAGACGATTCACTTTTTTGGCAGGTGGATAGAGGCGATCAACTTCCCCTAGGTCTCCCACAGGTGGATCGAAGGTTGCAAGTCAGATTTGGGATCGAAAGTCTAAGGTTTAGGGTACGATCGGAAGCATCAAGATGCAGAAAAAAAAAGCAGAGGAGGCATCAGGTTCGAAGATTGTTCTCTTCTTCTTCATGTATGTGCCCTAGATTTCTTTCTCTTACATTCACTCTCTAAAGATTCTTTTATTCCCTAAATTAGGTACGGAGATTATTCTCTTCTTCTCCATTTGGTTTTTTGGAATGACAACCTCTCCTCTTAGGAGTAAGTCCTGAGTCCCCAATACTTGATCTGCAAGCTGTGACATGAGTTTTTAGTGAAGATAATGAGTAGCAGACTTCAAAACCCATTTGTTGGGGCAGCTTTCCAATCTTCCTTAAAGCCAAGAAACGTGAACTGTTTGGGTTATCTTGGAAACAAATTTCCCAGAAAACCTCGGTATGATATCATTCCACGTGCCAAGAAAAACGACTGGATATCTCACGGGATTAGGTTCTCACAATCATTCGGGGAAAATGTTGAGATTTTAAGGAAGAATATGGAATTAAGAAGTGGGTTTGTGGTGAAGTCCATGAAAGAGCCTTTCACTAGACTGGGAGGAAGGTTTGCTTCTATTCCAGTGTTCTGTTTTCTATGTTGTGATATCTGGGGTGTGCTCTTGCTTCTTCACAAGACTTAACTCCTGAATTGAAGCTTACAACTGCCTCAGCAATAGCAACTGGTATATTCCATTCAAGAAATAACAACCTGAATGCTCAAATTTTGATCTAAGTATTTCTTAAAGATTCATACTATACTAAGATGATTATGGTGAGATATAAAATAGCTTTTTTTGTTCATATTAAGGTCATTAAAGAAGTTAGCACCAGTCTTTCTTTCTAGAGAATTATGGTGTTATCTTTTATTTACTTGTTCGATTGCAACACTGCTGCCCTGATGAATTCATTGCATCTTTATCAAACTTTTGCAATAACAAGGTGAAGCTTGTGTATAATCTTTATGTGTATTTATAGTGCCAAATATTGATCATAGTTCAAAGTGAACAATTACATTCAAAGAATATAATTTATGTAGTGCATTTATATTAAAAAAAATTCAACATGTTTTGGTTTTACAGCTTGAGGAGTTCCGTAAAAAGAAAGCAGCAGCTAAAAAAGCTGCATCCAGTAATTCTGTTAATGGAGACTTACATGATGTAAAAACTTCAGTTGCTGATGCTATAAACACTTTCAATAAACCTTCTACAAATAATAATCCAGGGGAGGATAATAATCATAGCAATTTGAATCATTACAGTAATATAGGTGCATTGTTAGGGACATATGAAGATAACATATTCAAATCCGAGTCAAAGAAGCCTTATCTCAAGTCAATTGGCTCTCTTAACCTTGGAGGTGCACCCGAGTTAGAAAAGAAACTCAAGTACACAGAGCATGTTTGCTCAGGGGTAATTTTGGGAAAGGAGCTTGTAAATGCACCTCCTAATGTACTTACCCCTTGTAATTGTAAAACAGGATTGCTGCTTGATTCCAGAGTCTCCATTCTATCTAAAAGGGCAAGGTGGTCTTTTTGAGTTCATTCAACATAGACTTAAAGAGAATGGGCATGTGGTGATTGTGTTGGCTGAAGGAGTAGACCAAGAATATGTTTCTGAAAGTGTGAATGCAGTTGAAGAGAGAGAGATGCATCTGGAAATAAACTGCTTATTGATATTGGTCAATGGTTGATCCAGAAAAAAAAAACCATCTTGCAACAGTCAAGAGAATGGCCATAAACATGAAATATATTGGTACACTTAAATATATAAATGACTGAATGAATGGGTAAAGTAGGTGAATGAGATGAAATGCCGATTGTACCCCTGCAGATCCAACATACATCATACGGGCTATTCCAAGCAATGCATATGATAACATCTACTGTACACTTCTTGCTCAAAGTGCAATTCATGGGGCCATGGCAGGGTTTTCTGGTTTTACAGTTGGACGTGTCAATAACAGACATGCGTATATTCCAATACAGGTAATTAAGCACTCTTACTCTCTTATATTTACATTAATTATATTATTATTATTCCCAATTAATATTTATTATTTATAGTTATAATTGTAGCGTGTTATCGAGTCTACAAATGTTGTTAAGTTGACAGATAGGATGTGGGCTAGACTTTTGGCTTCTACTAATCAACCTACAAATGTTGTTAAGTTGACTTTTCCACATGTACATTGCTTTTGTCCTTTTGTAGGCTTTGTCAGCCTTGCAGTTCTTACTTAACAGGGTCTGGAACCTTCAAGAAGGACCTCTGTAGGCATGAATCTTGGGTTTCAAGAAAATCAAGAAGCATTGGTTTCAAAGACAAAGCCAAGCATATGGGACTGGTGGAGTTTCTAGAGAGGGATTTTGATACTAAAATCAAGGCTCCAAAATCAACAAGTGCTAGTTTGAACGAAAAAGGCAATCATACGGTATTCATATTTATAGTGTTTGTATAAAAAAGCTATGATGAATCTTTTTCTTCATTCCTAACTTTGTTCTTGATTAGCACGTGAGGTGATGCAAGAGAATGCAAATATGTTGTTTAAAAATATTTCCATTGAGCATGAATAGAAAAAATTGTAGCTTGAGGAACATGAAAAGGAACTGAGAGCACGTGAAGCTCTAAACAAAACTGACAGCAACTTATTAGATCATTGGTGGGTGATGATGACCCAATCCCAGATGTGAGGAAGCCTGCCAAGCGACAGTCTGGTAAAGGTTGGTTTCTCTTCAATTTCTTGATTCTTTTACTTATAACAAGGTTAAGGATTACCTTTTCTTTCTGTATCATTTGCAGGTATTTTTATGAAGTATAGAAATTCAAGATTCTCATACACAAAAACTAGAAGAAAAACTACTAAATAAAAAATTCCAAAAATACCCCTGTATCTTATTTTTTGATTTATCCTAATACTTAATACAAACGCTCATTAAGAACATGTAATTAAATTAAGCAACATAAATATTGGTACTATATTGGTACTATATTGTAAGAACATGAAGGGCGACTCAGCTGATATGTCAACAGTTAATATTTTTTCATAATTTTGACTACATGTTGCCATTTTATGAAGATAATACTGACATAGCCCCTGTGAAACATAAGTCTAGACATAGAAACAATGACAAATTTCAATATGTGGAAGCTAAATAAAATAGACAGATGAATTGATGAAATGTTTTTACAACTGAATTACCTCCTTTAGGTGAGGAAAAATCTTCCACAGAAAAGGAATTGTTAGAATTTGGGAGGCAAAACTCCATTGAAGGTCAATATCTGGACAAACACAATACCCTTGACCAGTATGAGTAACAACTAGGGCAAGAACATGCTACATTAAAGTTCCATCCATTTGGCAACCAAACAAAGCTCAAATTCCCATTCCTTCAAAATCCACACCACACCCTAATAACTTTGTCTTTATACCCAACAACTTGACTTGTTTTGCTATGTGTATTGTATGATAGGGGGGAATATTCTTGTTGAAGACATAGTGAAATTGGGTAGTCGAGCAGAGGATGCTGACTGATTGATCTCAATTCTCTCAACAACCACAGATGAGATGAATAATGGTATTGTATTCTTTTGTTTGATTTTAGATGTAACTAACTAGTATATGTATAACTTCCAATACCTTTTTTTCTTTACTTTTTGTAACCAGATTGTGAGGCTAGCTTGCTGAGTGAGTGAAATGGTTACTTTTTTAACCCTGATCTGTTGTTGCTTAGGCCTTGTTTATTTTTACTTATTCTTGTGGAACCAATGAGCAAATAAAGTATGTTTTTTATCAAGCTGTTGTATCTATTCAGACCCGGCTTAGAGAAATGTTTGCAAGAGATGAGTTCAGAAGAAGAAGAAACAAGGCTGCAACTATAGTTCAGGTACTATGGATGAATTATATTTGTAAAGTATTTAAGAAAATGATTAGAAACAAGGGTGAATTTGTACAAATTAGTTAGCTACTTGCAGGTTGATCTTGAAAAAGCAAAGGGGCAATGGATTGTATTTTTTGTATCAAATTTGTTTGTAAATATTTGTTACAACTTCTATTGATCTGTTTCATCTTTCCATGGAACGATTATTTGTATGACATTAAATTTATGCAATGGATTCTATTTTTTGTATATGATATTTTATTTTCCATTATGAAACATTAAATACAAATTTAATTTGAAAATAAGTAAATCTATAATTTTTTTTTAAAACATTTAAAATTATGATACGCAAAAATGTGTGTCATCTTCATTTATGACATGACCTTTCTTGACAGGGGCTTTCTTGATACGTATTGCGTGTCATTAACACGTGCGTCGTAAGGTTACGACACGCGAATGCATGTCGTCTTCCTTTATGACAGGGGCTTCCTTGATATGCATTGCGTGTCGTAAACGCGCGTCGTAATTGAGCGTCGTAAATGAGCGTCATAAATGCGCATCGTCTATAGACGACGCGCAAAAGCGCGTCGTCTCTCTTTATGACAGGGCCTTCCTTGACGCGCATTTGCGCATCGTCTGAGCCTTTTACGACGCGCAATGAGCATCATAAAAGGCTGTTTTTCTAGTAGTGAAAGTTTTATGCAGAAGTGATCCTTCACAAGTGGCAGAGAAGCATATAGATGTGTATGTTCTTGTACATGCTCACATAAAGGAATTTCTTGATTGCTACTATGAATATTTGGTAATAACTGGCATTGATCTTTCCATGGCTATCATAAATTCTTTAAAGGTGCCTCAATCATTATTAAAAAGGAAGCTGAATATTGGTAAATTCGAAGATGGTGAAATTATTCACAAACCTTTTGGAGTGGTTTTTCAAGGAAAGAACAAGAAGGGCAAGTTGAGTAAATTCCTTTTCTATGTGAATGAAATAGAGAGATACATAAACTATCATTTTTTGAATATTTGTTATATGTTAATAACTGCAAGAAGAATGACAAAAAAGATAAAGCAGAGATTCAAGAAATCATTATTTGGTACATTAAGGTAAGAAAGTTGTTGCTACGGACTATGAAGTCACTAACTTGAAAGTTTTGACTATTCACACTAATAGGGAGAATGTATTGTAAAGATTAGTTGTGAGTAGTCAAAAGTTATGTCTTTATGTTTTGACTCTGTAAATAGTGAAAGTTTAAGGAATTTCGTTATCATATCTATTTACAAGGTATTATCATGTTTCGCATTATATAGACTAGTACTTGTAGTTTTTAGTTTCTGGCATACCCTACAAATAGACGAACTGCTTAGTGGTTACACTAATGAAGACTCTCAAAATGTTTTGCTAAGCTTGAATACCTTTGTACTCTTCCAGGTAATAAACTTAGCTAAATAGATCTTATTTAGATCTCTGTATTCTTTTTTATTTTATTTGATTCGATCGATTCAAACACATTTTCAAACACTCTTCAACCTTTTTCTTTGATGTGACCTAGGTACATTTCACCAAGTCTTATTCTTATTTTCCTGGTGAGTAATGATTATATAGATTCCTCACTAATCCCAATGTTTACATCACGATCTATCAACTAAGGAGTAACCAGGTATTATCATATCGGAGGTACGGTCTGTTTGGTATACAAAGTATACTTTTTGGAAATATCACTTTAAACATCTCACTAAGTCCAACTTAGACATCACTCCCACAAGTAGATTAATCAAAAATATGACTTGGAATCACTGATAAATCTTAATTATAAATTCATAACAACAACCATGAGTATAAATATAAGTTACATTGAAAGAGAACTGAGTGTAGCTTAACTTGCAGAGATTTTCCTTCCAAAAGTTCAGAAATTCCATTAGTAGAACTCAAGACTAATAGCTACAAATGGCGGGATCCTAGGGAGCTTATGGCTCTGCTAGAAACTTGAATGCTAAAGAGATTTTCAGCTAAAATGGAGAGAAATTTGATAGGGGATGTTTGGGAGGTATGAAGATGGAAGTAAGGTACGCATCGCACACTTAGTCGGAGAAGTGTGATGTGGCTTGCTTTGGGTGATGGCATGTTGCAGAAATATGGTGGAGTGTCAAAGGCATACCATGAGTCTACTTGTTCAATTTAGCATATTTAAAAAAAAAAAAAAAATTATTCATACGAGCTCTATTTTTTTAAGTTTTTTATATCCTAACGTAGCTTTTGATGCGATCAACAACTTTTATTTACTCCATCGGCTAATTCTCACCTTATTTTTAAAGTTATATTTTATACATGCTTAGACTGTTAAAATCCATATAAAAATCATAACTTTCTCATACGATAAAAACTATAACTTTCTCATATGATATCTGATCTCGAATGCCTTTATATTGATAGATATATATTCATGAAATCTTCAATTCTCATTTTTTTCCTAGCAATCTACTGATTTCAATTTCGGGTTCCGATTCGTATAGTAATGTGCTAAAACTTCTAAAAATCATGACTTCCTCGCATGAAGTCAGATTTAGGCATTCTCTATATGCACACTCTGGATTTATGAAATACTATGACTTTCGTTTAGATTATTTATCATAAATAAGATTCTATTAAAAACATCTATTTATCATCATGATGAATATCCTTTTATTCTTTAATCATCTAGCCCTATCTTGTCAGCATTACAATTTTCAAGTCTGTTGGGCATTGGTTTGCACCAACGTATCTGTACCTACATGTTATAAATTGTATTTCTATGTATAACCATATGTGTAAAATGTTTAATTATACAGTCAAATTTATTCATTCATTTTGCCTATTAAGGAAAAGCGATATCTTTGGCCCCTCAGTGAATTGATGTTGACATTATTGTACGGGGCCTAGCCATGACTAAATTGATACGTTCATTTAATAGTCTGATGATGTCATCATAAATCGTGAAATAGAATCTTGGACCATGAGATTAATTCTAATTAGACCTGGCAATTTCAGACACGAAGACACGAATCTGTGAGAGACACGACACGACATGAATACACGACACGAATACATTTTAAAAATTGAGATAAAGCTTATTTCTCATCGTGTAATCGCATAGTGTCAAATTCGTGGCTGACAATTTTTCATGACACGAATACACGAATTGTCAGGTCTAATTCTAATCCACGAGTCATCTATCAATACAATATTTGTAACATCCCAAATTTCGAGGCAAAAAAAATCATTTTTAATTAAGAGATTCATAACATAGTTTACCAAAGATTTCCCATGTCATAGCAATTTATAAATAAAACATAACAACGTGACTGTAAATCCATGTCATCAAAGTAATGAAAATCAGAGTACAATCCTAGAAAACTCCATGCAGAAACCATATGCGTACGGGTGTGTGATGCGCTGCTAGACCGTCGGCTCTTTTCCCTTCGATGAAGAGGTACCTGAAACCAAAACTGAAACTATAAGCATGAAGCTTAGTGAGTTCCCCCATCATACCACATACCATACAATCACATATCATGAATACGGCCAAGCAATTCTTGGGTGCTCGACCTACCCATGTCAAGCCATTCTGGGGTGCTGACCTATCCATGTCAAGCCATTTTGGGGTGCTGACCTACCCATGTCAGGTCATTTTCGGGTGCTGACTACCCTCCGGTCTATCTCAACCGGAAACGGGGACTACTTTACCCCTATCTCTATCATACAAAACAAATATAATCATACGGTCAGGCATATCTAGGGTACTGACCTACCCTTCGGTCCTAACGACTGAGTCAGGGAAAAACTACTCCATGCTACTACCACTAACTCATATAGTATATCACATAAGCATGTCTCATAAGCATATCACATAAGCATGTCTCGTAAACATATCACATAAGCATACCAAGATAATTATCACAGAGACAATTATCAATCAATTACTCTTGTTGGTGGATCGGCATTATGGCCGTAGACCCACTCCTACTGGAAGGTAACTCACATCGATGTCGTGTAGTGTCTATATTGTCCTCGGTGTGAAATTCGGCTCTCCTCGACTCCTCAATCCCTACACGACAACCCTACTAAGTTATCAATTTGTACTCATAACCCCTACAAGGGTCAACTTGAATCCAAGTCAAAGTCAAAGTCAAAACATGGTCAGGTAAACTCTTTAGTTGACTAGACTCGCCGAGTTAGTCCGCCAAGTCATCGAGTCCCTTCGTCTACATAATCCTACAAACCCTTCCCCACTCTTTGAGTCTAGAAAGAGCTCGACGAGTTCACCTTCAATGACACTTCAGTCAATCTTCAAGCGAATCAGCGAGTTCCTCCTTGAACTCGTCGAGTTCATATATAGCATATGAATGTGTCCAGTCTATGACTCGCTGAGTTGTATGAACAATTCATCGAGTTCATCATCAATGATGGGGAGATTGCCTTGGACTCATTGAGTTTCCTCGAACACTTGTTGAGTCCCATGATTCCCAGGTCCCATATGAGCCTAAACAACTGAGGAACCTTCCACTCTATCATCTGGTCCATCGAAAAAAAAGGATTTGGTGGTCTTTACACCCCGACTTGCCGAGTCCCAAGAACATCTCGCCGAGTCCATCATTGATCATTATTATACAGTCG